TATAGGGGGAATAGAAACGAGGGAATCGCAATTTTGAGGTGGAAAAATCAATTTTTTCTTACAAAACTAGCAAAATATTTTATAAACAACCGATATATTTCTGCAAGAAAACGATAATCATGCAGACTATGCAAAAAATATCTGTAGTTAAACACAATAATACAAAGGAAAGATTAAATTTCCACTTGCCTAGATCTGATTTATTTTCCGTTTCTTCTGAAATTGACGAAGACAAAGTATCGATGGCTGCATCAATTCCAGTGGCCTCAGGTTGGTCACCAAGAAAAACATCTAGCTGCTCAAAAAACTTCGGTTCTTTCACTCTTGCAGCCCCTGAACGAGCCAGTGCATCTTTGTACTTTTTATATGTGGTTTTCAAGTGCTTAACTTTTGTTCTACATTGTGTAAAATCGCGTTGGAACCCCAGGGTTTCCAGTTTTGCACTCATTTTCCCGTATATGTCCTTGTTTTTACGTGATGTTGCCAGCATCTTTAAAATTGATTCTTGACTCCAAATCGATATTAATGCCAATACTTCATCATCACTCCAGGTTTCTCCTCGTTTAGCCATGGTAAAGCTATCTATGGGTAAAGCTAGATTATTTTGCAGAACTTCGACGAACAACAAAAAAAAATGGCGGTCGAACAATTTCGATCAAAACTCTGGAGAAAAAACGCGCGAAAAATTGCCAGGCAGCTAAGCACCAAAACTAGCTCGATCTAAATGCGCGAACCGATCCGAGACTACCTGCCGAGGTGGTCTAGTTTAATTCGACCTCGATTCGATCTCGGTTCGTTTTGGGCTGTCCACACTTGGCCCGATACGGACTGAGACCGCTTTTTGATCGATCTAAATTGCTAGTGTGAACAGCCCCTTAAGACGCTTATCGGAGCGACATCAACTAAGACGCTTTTCATATTTGATGTTTTGACTAATTCTGTTATATATTATCATAATTTTGAGTGCTAAACTCCCCTCGAAAGTGTAAAATTTGATGTCGCTCCGATGCGAATCCGGTATCGCGGTCCGACTGCGTGCAGCCTAAATATAGCTTTAGGGAGTGACCTACTATAACTGTACCAAATTTCAATTAATTTCATTGAATCACTTCTGAGATATTAGACTTTCTTTTCAGTTTTTCTGCCATCTCAAGTACGCCTGCATGCAACTAGCTGGCGACGTCGCCACACAAAACTACAAAATACCCGATAACTTGGGATTGAGATGAGCTGTGAATAAATTGTTAAGGCCATTCTTCATCATTTTCAAGGTGGGTTTCAAGTGATGCATAAAAATTTGAGGTGAATATTTCGTGTCGTGTGCCGCTTTTTAACAGATGTACTGTATGCTAAACTGTGACGATTGACTGCCCGTTTTAATGTTGTATGCATCTGCATTCAAGTTATTTCACCTTGGTTAATATTAGTTCAACGATTCATAGTTAATGGAGCGAAAAATCCAAAATATTCGTGCAATTTTTTATTTATTACCCTCTTAATATTGGTAGAAAAATGACCTTTTTGACAATTCAGTATAAGACTTCTAAATGTGTATACTTTCAACAAAATTAATTATTTGTTTCATGATGAATATCAAGTGTAACGCGGACGTCTCGTGACCTTTATGTATGATATAATAATGATTTGTATAACAAAGATGCTTGTACATTTCATCTAGGATTGTGAAGATGGAAACAATTCTCTACAATATATTTCCTGCTTCTACTAACGGGGATTTAAGACATTTAACCCAAAGGTAAGCCACAAGACATTTCATGAACACACCTCTACGATATAAATATTACTAAAATAATAAATTATCCGCGATTACTTACCGTATCGGTATCATTTGTGTTGCTTGTGCAGTTCTTAGACGGCGGCGATGAATTGTTAGTCGGTGTCAAACCACGGGTCAAACCGAATGACCAAACCACTAAGATAAAATATTGGACAATCATGCTGCTGTTTGTCACTTAATACTAGTTTAAAATGACGACCGCATACGCTGTTATAAACAGCTGGAATAATTGGTATTATTGTTTGATAATATGTTAATTTGTTTCTCCAACGCCTTTATCTTGATCATGACGCAGTCACGTTTTATCCACATTTTTAAACAAACACAGCGTGCTCTTCAGGTATTACTCGACATTAGGATCAATTCTGAATTAAAAAATTTAAGCTCCAGAAATGCAATGCAAAAATTATCATATGACAACATCCAATATTACGAAAGTCATCGAACTGTGGAATCGCGGCGGCGTTGCGAATGCAAAATAACCTCCCATCAAAAATTATTATTATTATTATTATTATTATTATTATTGATCTTTAAACACGGTAACCTTTCACATAGGTGATTTTCAAAGGGCCGTGCGGAAAATAAATGCATTATAAAAGAAGGAACTAATAAACTAAATTATACTTATTTACAAAATATACTATATTTACTTATTTACTTATTTACAAGATGTAATTATTTAATAGATGATGGACAGATTTTAAACTTGTTGACTCTCTTAGGGTTTTCAACAAGTTTACTGGGATGTTGTTCCAATACGCTGCTCCTCTGTACGAAAAGCTATTTTTCAAGAAATTCGTTTTTGGTTTAGGTTGAGACAGCTTTAAATTACTACTGCGCAGTACGTAACCATTGTTTTCGCAAGTGTGAAATAGTTGTGTTACGTATTCTGGAAGCATGCCATTAATCGCTTTAAATGTCATAAGGAGATCTCGCTTTTTCAAAACTAAGTCAAGAGGTTTCCAGCTAAGTTTTTGAAAAATGTCCGAAGATCTTATAGTATAGTCCGAATTTGTTATTATTCTTGCTGCTCGTTTCTGAAGCTTATATAATTTGTCTAAGTGTGTTTGGTTGTTATTTTGCCAAACAGTTGAACAGTAGTTAAAATGAGGCGCGACTAATGCGTTATACATAATTTTGAGCGTATCTAGGCCAACAAAATCTTTGGCTTTTCTTAAAAGATTAATATTTTTTGATATCTTGTTGCATTGTTCTTCATTTTGCCTATTCCAGCTAAGTCTATCGTCTATAACTATACCCAAAGCTTCCTTTTTATAAACTCGTTCAATTTGATGTCCGTTTATACTGATTTTTGGCACGTGATCTAAGTTTTTCAATCGTTGCCGAGATCCAATAATCATATATTTGGTTTTTCGTTGTTTAATGTTAGTTTATTCGCTGATAACCATTTTTGAGCATTTACTAGGTCTTTGTTAAGTTTGTATTCAATATCTATGGATAAATGCCCTTGACATGATAAAATTGTGTCATCAGCAAATAAATTAGAATGTGTTGTTTCTAGGCAGTTTGGGAGGTCGTTTATGTAAATGAGAAATAATAGAGGTCCAAGATTTGAACCCTGAGGTACTCCACAACGAATTATTTCAATATCAGATTTACAGTTATTTAGCATGCAAATTTGCTTTCTTTGATCTAAATACGATTGGAACCATTTGAGCGTGTGGTCGCGTATCCCATAAGCTTGTAGTTTTGACAATAGAATCTGGTGATCAATCGTATATCGGCAACTCCCACAAACGTCTACGACCGCGCACCGCACGTACATACATATAGTTTTGCATGTTTACAATTCTAATTTTGAACAGCCAATCAGGTTAATTATTGGTAACAATTACAATTAAACGTCGATTGGCTGTTTAAAATTAGAATTGTAAACATGCAAAAATATGTAGGTGCGGTCGTAGACGTTTGTGGGAGTGCTCGATATACGAATTTTTGATGCGATTCCACAGTTCGGTGACTTTCGTACTGACACTGTATGCTTGTGTTCCACATCAAGCGTATCGAACTGAAGCGTACTGGTGAGCATGCGTAGATTGAAAATAGGTTGATAAATTCACATACTTCCGCGCGTAGTCAACTATTGGCGCGTACTACGGAAGTATTAACCAATCAACATTCACTAATTTTTTGTTACGTTTTCCTACGGTACGCTTGAAGTGGACGATTGCCTAGCTTTAAAATGCTGTGGGCAAGCAGATCTGATTAATGCAGCTAAGTTCGCTATGATAACACTGAGAGCTAATCCAGCCCAACTGCTCTCTGTAAACTCAGTATATCTTCTTGTCACAAGGAAAAGGCGATGAAACTCCTGAGCTTATAATTGCTAAAAAATATAAATCTGCAAAGTGTAACAATCGCTTTAGATTGCGTGCCAAACAGCTAATGACCTGCAGGCATACAGAGGTTCACTACTATATTAACTTGCTAACATATAACCTCATTAAATGCTTTGAAGTTTGCCGAATTTTTCCATATCTCCACTACGATCACAAACATGCAGTTCTATAATTCAGGTCAACTTGTGACCCAATCAAGAACGCACACGCAACTGTGCTTCACATAATTGTATACAGACATATGACAGGTTTCGGATTGACAGGGATGCAAGTCGTACATGCAACACTACCTGAAAAGAAATACAAGGAGAACGTCGACCAATCTATCCGACGTTTTTATTATTGCCACTGTCTATTGATTCTATATACTGGTGCAAGGCAAAGATTATATACATACTTCAGATACTTTTTAAAGTTGTTTTTTTCATATTTTTATTGCAATTTGATGTAATTTGATATGCTGGTTAAAATGCAACCCTTTAACTGTGCTTATTAATATTCAATAACATGCGTGAGACTGATAAATGTAGACTCTCAACTATACTGATCCTTCATCGGATATAATCCAATTTCTATACAACTATCTCTCGACCCTCATCGAATCTCAGACAAAACTCTGGGGAAACCAGAAGATCATGCATTGTCAATCAAAAGTTGTACTATTTGGTGATTTTACTATACTTATGTTACCAAAGTTTGAACAGTTATTCACAGTTTTGTCGTTTGACTCATTTCTGTTTTTTCCGCGGTGATAAACCTTTGCTGCGATGTGCTGTTGCTACGGCGATGCCTCTTGCATTTGCATTTAAAAAGAACGAGCAAACTGCGGCGATAATCTTGCAGACGTAGAGAATACAAGATTGCATTTAAGACAAAATTTAGAAGAGCGACAGGCTCGTAATAATAGGCAAACTTTTGGCGCAATGAACGGCTATTGGAATCACGTCCACCAAGTCGCTCAACATATTCCATTTGTTTGGCCAGGAAATACGGAAACGCTGTCACGATCAGTATTGCATTGAGAATCATAACAGTTTTGGCGACATCTTGTTGTTTTTCATTCAGTGTTTCGACGTTCAGTATGCTATGTCGACTGCTTAAGATCTCGACGGCGATGAAGATTTTTAACACGACCTGAATTGCAACTGTCAGTTCCAAAACGGCTATGTTGCCGATATAAAAATATAAGAATAGGTCGGTCCAAACGTACGAGATCTCACACAGACCTAAGCCAATGGCCAAAAGCCACACAAACGCGCAGGACAGGACGGCTTTTTTGTCTGTTAACATCACGCGACTTTTCATGGGATATTTTATGATCAGGTATATTTCAACTGTCAGGAGTGTTAGCAGCAGAAATGATGCACTCTGACCAAACATCCGAAAAAAAATGACTTTGTTTATAACGAGGAATAGAGTCTCGGCGTCCTCTATTTGGTAGAAGAGCAATTCAAAAAATAGGCCTGCACAGGCGATAAAATCAGCGAGGGCAAGATTTAGAATCGTGATCCATGCTCCTCGCCGCAAAATCTTCAAAGGGTCGACTACGATGACGATAATGAGAATTGAGTTGCACAGCACTCCAATGGAAGCCACTGTCATATTCGCGATGTTTATAATGTAGTATTCATCGTCTCTAGACTGGAGAGATAAAGCCGATGGTTAAATATTGTAACTACAGGAAGGGGCGCAACTGTTGGTACGAGACTGGACAGGACAAATAGTGTCACGTGTCATGCATAAACTATACAATGGGCTAATTTCCCATACAATTTTCACATCCAAATTGAACCAAAATTTAACCGATTTCTCCGTTGGATTATTTCTAGTAGCGCCACACTGAATGAGTGACTTGCTGTTATCACAAGCGCAGACGCTCTGGGTACGAGCTTGGGATCTCACCAAGCGCAGAAGCCCTGGGTACGAGGTTGATACACAGAGGCACAGTGACAGAGGCTTGCATACGGAGCGTTCACAAGCATTTTAAATCATTAATGTAATAACGATATTTCATTAGGGAAAGCGGTTTTCAGTGTAGTCATTAACACTTACTGTTTATATTGCAACATGCATAATCAGCAAATGGATTTCCGTCATACGCCGTTTAATATGTTTAGTTCATTATATTATTTTCTGGATCTTTTTAACATTTGTCTTTTTAACTAAACGTCTATAAACCTATCTTGCTTGATGTAGTTTAACGATGCCTTAACACATATATAAAGTTTGCATAATTACATGCACTCTTTGTAACTTGTAAGTGTGAATAGAAATCTTTTCTCTTAATTTTTAATCCGCACAAAACTTTAAACAGGTTAGGGAAGCCTCACATATCGATTTTGTCCACGAGAAACGTCATATGTTCGTTTCTCTGGAGACCCCCCCCCCATCCCCCCCTTAGAAACGTCACACATAGTTATCGATATTTTGTTCTTATAGTACACACAAGGTAATTTTCTACTATTTTTTCGGTCGGCTATTGGCGATGCTTCCGCGAGGAATATGTCATCTTCTGCTGACATACTCTTTTTTATTAATATAAGTATGAACTTCAAAATTTCCAACGTTTCTCAAAACAACTTTTTTTGCATGAAATATTGATAATTTTAGCGCGTTTTTTTTTTTAAATTTGAGTGTTTTCAATGCAAGGAAGGCGTAATAATATAAATGTATAGGTATAGAACAGGTATGGTATTACGAATATATAGACTGCTGTTTGTATCAAATTGTTTTCTTTTTTTATATTCTGCAAAGATAAAAACTATCGAATTTTTCCATGATGTTTACAGAGAAACGTCACAGCTGCCAACCCCCCCACCCCCAAACGAACATATGACGTTTCTCGTGGAAAAAAATCGAGGCTTCCCTTAATTTAAAAAGGTAGAATGTTAAAATGCAGTAGCTGGATGCATGCAGGGGGTATTTTATCAGTTGACTGACAATTCACTTTCTTTTAATTTTACTTAGTTATTAAGGATCGTTTAAAAGTAAGATAAGTACTTTCAAGAGGCAAATAAAATTTAGTAATGCATACAGGCCTATACATTTGTTTTCTGCCATTAATCATTGGCGTTCTGGCCAAACTCACGATAGTAATAAAATTCATATACGGTAATACTTACCGTGGCATTCGTCTGGGAACCTGAATTCCCGTTTGTGGAGTTCCCCGAAACAGTCATCATTGTGGAATTACAATTTCTGAGTGGGTTTTTCAAGCCTTTATGCTCCTGAGGTTGGCTTGAAATAGACAGACATGTCAAGATCACTAGCATGGATCGGTAAAAAGAACAGCCCAGCTTTGCCTTGAAAAACATTGTTGTATCAAATACTCTGTGCGTATGCTCTGGTGCGTATGTCAGGAAAGCTATATAATGTCTGCCTGTTGAGAAGATAAGCGATATTGTAACTCATTAATAATTCAGCTGCAAGCGCCGTTTGCTGAACCCAATTAAGTGTTGAGAGCTGTATATCAAAGTTCTTAAAAGCACTTGGATATATTATTGGTGTAATTACTGCACTGGAGTAGATTCACTGATGGGAATCAGGGTTATTGTGGGATCATGCATGCTCTAAAAATGAAATCAGATTATGTGGTCAATATTTTGAAAAATGTTAAACTGTTATCGTGCGTCAAAGAATATCAAAGACCTGGCCGCATGCATGGCAATATAGATATAATAATAAAGACTCTACTATAATACTCTATAATTGTTTGTGATCTATTAATTATTTAGTATTTACTCTGTATGTTATAAAAGTAATGCATGTGCAGCCTGACCCTCGGCCGCCTCGCTGTAAACGTCGAAGTTTGTTCTTAGTGTGCAGGTACAGTTTCATATTAGTTTCAAATCAAGTGGAAATTGCGCTAATTCTTAAACAAATACATTGAGTGGCTTGATTTATATATTAATATATATGTATAGATACAAAACACGATAAACACCCATGGCCATCTATATAGACTATGGCGATGCTTCTCATTGCAAGTATTGTTTATGACAAATATATGTCTATACTGTATATTAGTTTATATAATTTATATATATATAAGTTTTTTGTTTGCCATTTGTTTAAAATTTTTTCCCAATTTTGTATAACTGCAGCATCAACAGTTCATTAGACATTAATTTAAAACAGGAGGGTACTCTTTGATCACTTTAATTAAAAGTAGTATATACAACCTTACAGGTCTTACAGGGTGCATGTATACTGAAAAAGTAGACAATTTTGAAACGGCTTTCAATAAATATATATATATATATATATAACAATTCAAGTCTTCTTGATATAATATAGAGTGCTCAATACTTTATTGTAGAGCTAAATATATTTAATT